AAATTCTAGGTTAAGTATTGTTTCATGTCCGTCCACTAGACGCTATTATTTGCAAAATCCGTCTGTCCACCAAACGGTTGCTATGTATTTCGCTTATGTATTTTTGTGACGCCAAAAAAGTTAAAAATATGGCGATTATATATTTTTATGTGACGCTAGATTTTTTTCCAATATGGCGTTTATATGTGTGTCAAGTGACGCCAATTTTCCAATAAGAATGTTTTTTCCAATATGGCGTTTATATGTGTGTCAAGTGACGCCAATTTTCCAATAAGAATGTTTGATTTTTTTCAATATGGCGCTTATTTATTTTTTGAACTGCACGTTCAGCAAATTCCAATATTATATATTTATGTGTATGAAAATTCGCGCTATTTTATAAGTACTTATTGCGCTTATGTGAGTCTATATTTACAAAATGGCTCCAAAAAGGGAAATTTTCTCAAAAAAGTGTCTTAGAGGCAACGCAGCAACTTTAAAAAGTGTCAACTTGAGATTTCAAGATATGGGAATCTTCGGGTCAATGCAAATATTGAGGATTTGCCGGCTCCCGGTATGCCCTTTATGTCCAACAAAATAAATTTGATTGAGTACTCACTTTGATTTGGCCTTTGGGTCTCAAAAAATTCGTTGTTGTAGTGTTGCTCTTGTTGTTGTTACTATTGTTGTTGTGTTGCCGGAGTCCTTCGTGGTCTTCTGGCAGCTTCCACAATTTTGCGTACTTCTGGATTTTGTTTGGGTTTTTTGTGATATTGTGTACTGTCACTTTTTGTTACACTTTTTATTGTTGTATTTTGTCTTTTGTGTAGACCTTTTTTTATTAACGAAAAAATAAAAAATTTAATTAATTTTTGTTTATTTTTGTAGCACTGTGTAATTTCTTTTAGTTCTGTAGCACCGTGTAATGTCACTTTGTATCACTTTTTAATGTCACTTTTGTAGCACTGTGTATTTTCTGTTTGTTTTGTAGCACTGTGTGTTGTCCCTTTTTTGTAGTAAATTTGTAATATATTTGTTTGTTTAATGTCACTTTTTTGTAGCACAGTGTATTTTCTATTTTTTTTCACTTTTTCTTTTGGTTGCACTTTTTGTTAATTTATTTATTTATATTTTATTATGCACTTTTGTTTTTGTTTCACTTCACTGTGTCTGTCCACTTAATACTTTGTTTTTTGTTTTTAATATTTTAAAAACTTCACTTTATGCTCCGGCTCTGGAGGACCAAATGTTTTTTACTTCACCTTTTTTTTATTTTTTTTTCTTTAATTAAAAGATGTTGTTTTTATTTACGTTTTTTCGTATTTTTTTATTTCAATGTTTAAAATTCAATTTGCTTCGTTCACACTTTTTTGTTCTAGTTTTAGGTTTTTTTTGTTCAATTAATTTTTACTTTTTTTGTACAATGTGTTGTTTACAAATTTTTTGTTTATTTGTACTTTTTTTTGTTCAATTGGTTTTGGTTTTTTGTACAATGTTTTATGTTTTTTGTATGATGTTTTTTTTTTTGTTGAAACTTTGTTTTTTTTCTGTTTTTGGGCACTGTTCACTTCGGGGGGAAACTTGCGTACGCGCTTTTAAATTCGAGACAGAACTCGTCTAACTCCAATTTGCATCGTCACAGCAAACCTGTTTTGGCTGGTGACGATGCTTATTTATTTGAATTCAGCATTGGAATTTACCGGTGGCTGCATATATGTGCATGTGTGTGTGCATATGTGTCTAATATGTACATCATTTTTTTATGGTGTTATTTATGCAGCCACCGGTAATGTAACAAACAACACTGTTGCGTAAAAACATAGCATCTTTGATGAACATCATCCATTTAAAAGCGGTCGCCATCTTGGATTTCAATTTTTATAGTATATTGTATTCTGCTTTTTGAGCCCTTTGAAAAATCCTACGTTATCCGCCAATTTGGGAGCAGCCGCCATCTTGGATTTCAATTTTTTATATTATGTTGTATTCTGCTTTTTGACCCCTTTCATTTGATACCCATATTGATGGGATTAATAAAACTTGGATTTATAATGATAATGAATAAACATAATTGCATTGTCACCAAAATCCAAAGTGTATACAAATTTTCGGATTAATCGGTTGTCAGGAAGATGGTGAAATTTGAATTACTAAATTTGACACAAGAATAAATAATAAAACAAACGGGGTGAGCTAAATAAAACCTTTTAATGAAACAAATTCAAAAATTTTCAAAAAACATAATTATTATAATACTTTAATGCGTCAACAAACAAATACCTCGGTTTACCAACGCGTGAACATGCCAGAAACAGCTGAGAAAAATTTACTTTTACGCCAAATTCCGTCACACCTTCCATATTTCATTGAAATAGGACGTACGTAGCGGGAGCTACACCCAAACCTCAGCCGATTTCAATATAATTTGGCAAACGTTTTTTTGGTACCAAATTTCGTCTTTGTCCGAGTTTCATTGGAATCGGGCATACATATCGCGTTGGGTGCATCAAATATGTGAAATCGGCCGAAAATATATATAGGAGCAATATCCAAATCTGTACCAATTTCAATATAATTTGGTGATTTTTTTATAGTTTGGCGCATTCTAAATTCGGAGACTGTATCTGTAATCAATCAATAGATATGTGCATATAAAATCTAAATTTTTGGGAGGTACCTCCGATTCTGATGCTATACCTCCAGTTTCAAGCGGAATTTCAAAAATGTTACTTTAGGTGTAGTGTACCTGGACATTTTCAGGAAAATCTGTGCAGCGGTTTTCGAATGTATAAATTACAAACCAACAAAAATACAAACATTTCCCTCTTTTATAGATATTGAAGTTAAAAAATATGAAAAATAAATTTCAATGGCGGTCTGAAGCAATTTTTCACAAAATTCCATATCAAAAAAACAACTTTCGATTTATAATTTTTTTTTCCATTCCACTGTTCCAAAAGAAATTTTGAGTAAAATCGGACGAGCAGTTCTTAATTGATGTGTTGGTATACTCTTTTTACGCTATTTTTTTATAAATAAAGTATAATAAATTAGAAATAGAAAGGACCAGCCGTTCTCAACTGATTCAATTACCAACAAACAAAAATTAATAATATTAATATTAATTAATATATATATATATATATATATATATATATATATATATATATATATATATATATATATATATATAAATATGTATATATATATATATATATATATATATAAATATGTATATATATATATATATATATATATATATATATATATATATATATATATATATATATATATATATATATATATATATACATATATATGCTACCTGAACCCGGTGCGCTTCGCTACCCCTTCTGATTTTATATGCATTCAAAATTGTATTTACGAATATATGTTGGTTAAAAAATAAACATATTTAAAAATTAAAAAAAATTATTGCATTACGTTAATGCGTACATAACCAAAACCATTAGAAAAGCAGTAACATGACATACATACACGAAGGGTTTGTCCTTCGGATTTATTTATTTCATAGCAAATACCAAACGTGCGGTAAACTGCATTCTTTTGAAGTTGAGTGGCATTTCTATTGCAATTAATGAATTCGAGATAGCAACATACTTCGTTGATCCGATTTAAATATAATTTAAAAAAAAATACTTTTACACCAAACTCCGCCACACCTTTCATATTTCATTGAAATTGGTGCGTCAAATATGTAAAATCGGCCGATAATATATATATGGGAGCTATATCCAAATCTTAATTAATTTCCAATTAATTTGTCACATTTATTATTGTAACCAAATTCTGCGACACATTCTGAATTTCAATGGAATCGGTCATATATATCGTGTTTGGTGCATAACATGTATGAAATCGGCCGAAATATATATGTTAGCTATACCCAAACATCAACTGATTTCAATATAATTTGACAATTTTTTCTGGTGCCAGATTTTGTCTCTCTCGCTTTGGGTGCATCAAATATGTGAAATCGGCTGAGTATATATATGGGAGCTATAATCAAATCTGAGCGTATTTGAATATAATTTGTCAAATTTATTTTTGTACCAAATTTAGCCACTCATGCCGAATTTCATTGGAATCGGAAATACGTATCGTGTTTTGTGAATAAAATACATGAAATCGGTCGAAAATATATATGAGAGCTATATCCAAATCTGAGCCGATTTTAATATAATTTGACAAATGTATATTTGTTTTAATTTCCGCTACACATTCCAAATTTCATTGAAATTAGAGATACATAGCGTGTTTGGTGCATCAAATACATGAAATTGGTCGAAAATATATATGGGAGCTATATCGAAATCTGAACCGATTTCAATTTAATTTGACAAATTCATTTTGGCTCCCAATTCCGTTACTTATTTTAAATTTCATTACAATTGGAAATACATATCGTGTTTGGTCCACCAAATACATGAAATCGGCCGAAAATGTATATGGGAGCTGTATCCAAATCTAAACCGATTTCAATATAATTTGGGAAATCAATTTTTTTGATAAAATCTATCACACGTTTCAAATTTCATTGAAATTGGGGATACATAGCGTGTTTGGTGCATCAAATGCTTGAAATCGGCCGAAAATATATATGGGAGCTATATCCAAATCTGAACCGATTTCAATATAATTAGACAAATTTATTTTCGGATTGAATCCCGTCACACATTCCAAATTTCATTGGAATCGAACATTCATATTGTGTTTGAGGCGTCAAATGAACGAAATCGGTCGAATATATATATATATATATATATATATATATATATATATATATATATATATATATATATATATATATATATATATATATATATTACGGTTGTGTCTTGGCTAGTTAAATATGGAATTTATCGTATCGGACGTTCAGACATATTTGAAGTCACACCCACTTTGTATTTTTAAAACTAAGATGTAAAGAACTATTTTCAAATCGTGAAATTTTCCTAATATATGACTTAATAACTTTGAATTCTATTTTATATTTTCAGTTGCTCTCTTAAGTTCAAAATCAAAGGATGAAATCATCGAGTACGAACTCGTCCCACCCGATGGTGGTTGGGGTTGGTTAGTATTGGCTGGTTCTATGATGGTTAATATTTTAATACCTGGAACAATAAAAAGTTTTGGTGTCCTCTTTGTTGAATTTCTAGAAGCTTTTCAAGCATCCCCTGCCACAGCTGCGTGGATTCCAGCTTTATGTTATTTTTTGTATAGTTCGTTAGGTAAGTACAAGACAATATGTTGAAAGAATAACTATACTAAACATATGTTACACAGGTCCTGTTTCTAGTATTCTTTCTGTAAAATATTCATACAGGACAGTGACACTACTTGGAGGAGCTTCTGCTGCTCTTGGAATGATACTATCATATTGGGCATCGTCTGTAACGTATTTATATATAAGGTTTGTTAAGGGTGGAAAATAATTAAACACATAATATAAATGATATCCCAAATTTTAGTTACGGCCTTTTAGTTGGAATCGGTGCTGGTTTATCTTTCCCCCCTACAGTATATATTGTCACGTCTTATTTCGTGAAATATCGTGGACTTGCGAATGGACTATGTATTTCTGGAAGTGCTTTAGGATCTATAATATTGCCACCTGTTTTAAGGTGGCTCTTGGAAACATATGGCTATAGGTAACATTTATATATATTTGTTATATATTTTGGAATAAGAGCTATTTATACTATCATATAAATCTGTGCATGTGAATATAATTCATACCACCAAACACAAAAATCGTGCATTGCTTTTACAAGGAATATAATGCACAGGGGGGTGATATCACAAAACACGGAGATTAATTGAAAAATAAAATTCGTCTTTTGGAATAAATGTTTTTAAATTATTATAGAACACTAAATTCTACATCAGTACCGAAAATTTTAAAGTCATACCTTGTTTAGTTTTCTAATTACACAACAGTGGCAAAGTTAAGAAAAATAGTTCCTTTTTTCGCAAGAAGGAAAAAAAATTATCTTTGGTTTTTTTAAAGTGCAATAATTTAGTTTTTTTTTCTCATCAAAAGTGATCATTTGAAATTGAAACATTGAATACAGTGTTTTTGAATAAAAAAGTTTTAAAATAATGATGTCAAAATATTTTAAAAATTAATTTAAAATATTACCATATTGTCGCCATATCTGAAAAGTATATGGAGTTTTAAAAAAATAATATCGAGAAGGTCTTAAAATTTTAATTTTGTATTTTAGTATGGAATGTCATCATTCATAATCAAAAAAAAAAAAAAAAAAAAAAAACTCATGCCGTTTATGATTAATTTAAAAAATGGTGAAATTAGTCAACTGATTCTGCGGTGAATGTACTTTGATCTAGTTCTCTGTTTTATTTGTTTTTTTTTTGCTCTTTATTAAAAAAGTTTCTCTTGCGTTTTTATCCTGTTATTAACTGAAATTCTAAACTATATATAAAAACGTTCCAGTCTCTTTAAAAAGTCATTGGTGAGGTTACTTGCCTCACCCTCAATTTTGACTAATGATCCAATTAAAGACAATGAGAGAGATTTAGGGGAGGATGATTTTCCTTTTTCAGAATTTCGGAATGCTTAATTGCCAACCAATTTTGTATACATATTTTTTATAATTATTCCTTTCTCATAAAAATATGTATTCTTTTTGTCTTCAGATTTTAGAAGGTTTTACAAAGGATAAATTATTTTTCTGGCTTTACTCAAATTTTGGTTTTTTATAGGCAATTTTTGTAATTTTTCCTTCCTTCCATTGGGAAACAAAATACCAAATAATAAGTTTAAAAAAACTGCGTCTGAAACCCTCAAAATACCTAATATTAGGAAATGGCATTATATGTTTTCCATGGAGAGATTTCCAAAATAACTAAAATTTGGAAGTACCGCTATACATGGTCAATATCTAAAATTTAGAAGCGCCGTTATATATGGTCAATACTAATAGTGGATTTATCTTCACAAAATTTAGCAGGCAGTGATTTTGTCCGCTCCGAACTCAAAATGTCAAGATACTCATGATTGGGTGTGAAATTGTGGCCGAAACCTTCAAAATACCAAAAATCATGAAGTAACGCTATCGAAACGTGGACCGTTATGTCATATTTTTAATGCCAAACATATTAGAAGTAATATGAATGTCTGAGCAAAATTTCAGAACGATAGAATGCTTCCCTGAATTAATCTCCGTTGTTGGGCATCTCACCCCACTGTGCGTTGTATTGAACGTAAGAGAATTGTTATTTTTATACCCTCCACCTTAAAAAGGAGGGTATATTAACTTTGTCATTCAGTTTGTAACATCCCTTAATATACGTCGTAGACCCCATAAGGTATATATATTCATGATCAGCATAAAATTCTAAGTCGATTTAACAATGTCCGTCAGCCTGTCTGTCGGTCCGTCTGTTGAAATCACGATACAGCCCACATAATTTGACGTAGAGCTTCAATTTTGCAGAACAATTTATATTTTATCTAGGATGGTTCGATATTTTGATAATCCTAGTCACACCCACGAAATTGTTTCAAATTTGGTATTTAAGAAGATTTGGTTGATGACAATTCTTGATGTATAAAATTGTCTATAGAGGTTCCCGTTTTTGTATGGCCCCCATATAATGGCCTCACCCACTTTATTGTTTTTTTCAAAAGTTTAACATCATTATCTAAACGGACTTACTGGTATTTGTAGTTTAAAGTGGAACACGATTGGATTCAGATACTTTTATATAAAAGTATTTCTTTACCCAATGGTGGAGGGCTTTAAAAGTTTTGCTCGGCCGAACTTAATGTTTTTTACAAAATTATAAACAGAAGTAATTTTCTTAATGAAACAGAAACAATGTCCATTTAGATAAATTCGAATTTACCTAGCGAAGACACAAACCGCTGCTTTATTTGTGCTCCAATTAACAGATTTGGCTAATATTTTATCAAAGTTAAACGAACTTTTATCTGCATGGCAGCGTACAAAAACAAATGAAACGATTAACGTACCGCCAACTCAAAGTCACAAACTTAAAATGTTTTTTTTTTTTTCAATCATTTTGTTCTCTAACAAAAACCACAAACATTTCCATGACAGAGGTACACAACCAATACGATTGTCATAATGTATTTCGGCAGTGAGTTTTTCAGCTGTATCGTTTGCCAAAGAATCGCCATGAAACGTTTTCAAACGTTTGCTGTCAGAAATTATGTTATTCTAAGTATTGTTTTTGAACTTTTTTCAATTGTTTGCTGGACATAATAAATTAATGAAAAGGATTTAGTTTGTACATTGTTATAATGTACTGTTTCGTTTCCAATTTTCCATCATCCAGCAGTGTATATTTCCGTTTTGTTTCCGTTTGCACGCACATATACAAACAGTACGAAATACAAAACAAATCCCGTTATCGTAATATCGGTTTTGTTTCGTTTTGCGCTCCGAGAAAATACAGAACGAAACTATTGTAAACTCCAATGCGGGGAAAATGGGGAAATTCGAAGCAAACCAGATCTAAAACGAAATAAATGCGGGGTTAGTTTTAAATATAAAATTAAGGAAAAAGCCAGAATTTATTATTAATAAATAAAAGGGAGTTGGCCTAACGATATTACCTGTATTTGCACAATTACGTGGAGATCCTTCGTTCCAATCGGAGCGATAGAAGAAAATAGACTCTCTGATTGAGAAGCAAGGCGGCGTTGGCGCCAACGTTTATCATTTACCATGTAAATAGGCGTCATTTAGGCGTTTTCAATCTAAATCAAATTGCCCCAATAAAAAATCTTCTGGTTTACACGACTATTTCGCCTGAAATGTCCGACATCGCGCAAAGAAGACAAGAGTTGAAACAGGCTTTTATTGTAGCCAAAACGGTAGGTAATTCTTCGAACGTGAATTTTATTTTCGAGAATGCACTTTGAAGGTCTTTACTCCAGCCTCCCAAAACCCCCCATGTGAGGGGCACCAGCCACGATAGGCCCCTGATCTGATAACGCGGAAGAAACGGAACCTGTACTTTCTTACAAGAATTCTCTAAAACTTATTTAAATGACTCGCGAAGTTTGTTCCATTATCCGAAAAAATGGAACGGAGACAACTTTGACGAGCAAGAATCTATGCAACGCGACCAAGAAATTAGCAATCGACAAATCGGACACAGTGAGGCGACAAAACCGACCAGGGTATGATTTCATATCAAATGAACCTGTGAAGTCCACGCCAGTATATTTGAACAGCGATGCCAACTTAATGATTTTCGCTGCTTTTTAGACCCCCCAAAACGCCAAAATAGTGGGCATAGCGCGAAACGAAAAAAAGCACTGAACGTACGTTTTTCTTACTTTCTGTTAGTGCTTTTAGCGCGTTTTAGATTTTCAAATTTGGCAATGTTTATACATTCGAATATTTTGATAGCATGGCATCTACTTGTCGCAAGTTCTTTACTGCAAATTCTTTACGTGTCTTTCATTCCTGTCATTGAAGTTATTTTTTTTACATGTAACTCTTTTTTAGTAAACCAAAATAAAACGAAAAATTTTGTGTATTATAAACCAATTGAAGAAAAAGTAAAATGAACTAGAATAAAACGAAAGTTCATACATGTCTGCTTTGTTGTACGAGTTTACAGAACTTAAACTGCATTTGAAGCTATGTGTTTAAGGATGAACATTATTGTTTGTAAAAATGTATATGTCTGCAAGTTTTAACTACATGTAAAAAGTATTTTGATGATTTTAGCCACATTTTCATTGGAATTGTCTAAAATTCTACACAAGAAGATCTTAGTGAGTACTTTACCCCCTGAAATAGAATTGTCTATATATGTTCACAATATCGTATATCCTCCATATATTGGCATCTTTGATATTGGGTATTTTTAAGATTTTAACAGAATTTTTAATGGATTTTGTTTTATTTATTTTTTTTTTTTTGTACATTTATTAATTCGTTCCAAATGGTGGAGGGTATTCAAAGTTCGGCACGGCCGAACTTACTGCTTTTTTACTTGTTTTAAAATATGTATGCCCTATACATGAAATGTTTATATAAGATACGACCTAAACAGTATTTATTTAAAAAAAGTGTTTTATTGACAATTTTTGCATTTGGTTTAGAAAAAAAAAAAAAAACATAACGCTTTTTACGCTTTTTTAAGGAAAGTGTTTGCGCCATTTACGCTTTTCTGGTTTTTAATTACGCTTCTAGCTCTCAAAATGTTGGCAACACTGTATGTGAATGGCCGATCAAGAGTTTTTGTTTCTGGGGGAAGTGCAGCCATGAATTGACGGCAAGTGGATTTTTTCAAAAAATGCAGACCTTCAACGCTTTACTACCAAGCGGATGAGATTTTTCATACGAGAAATCCAATATTCCAATCTCAGAGTACGCAATATCACAAGAATAGCACCGTGTGCACATTTCAAATGAGAAATAAGAAATAAATAAGACATCTAACAACGTAGGCAATGATGCGAAACGCTCTTCAAAGGTCGACGAAAAGAAAGTAAAAATGTGATCGAAATATTCTCATTTCGTTTCTCATGATGATTCGACCATACGGATTTGCTTTACCTAACCAAATAGAACCGTGCCACCATAGGCGGGAGGAAGATAATTCTAAGGGAGACATAACTCGACTTCCTAAATTTGCGAGATTA